AAGTTTACTTACATGATTGCTTGCATTGGATAATTGACTACTGATAAATTGTATACATTTCCATGCTAATTTAATGCACCAATCTGTAGTGTCATAAAAAGCATTTCTGCATCAGTCTTGTTCCTGGCTTTTCTGACCAATGTGTATATATGGTAGAAAAAACAAGTTCTCATTGCTAACTGGTAGCACTGTAGTGCCTTTAGTAAAAGCATGGTATGAAAAAAGGATAACAGGCGTGTACAGTAGACTCGGCATCTGATACACGTACTTACCCTGATTCAGGTGCGTAAACTGGAGTGGAAGGATGCCCACTACCAGCCCAAAGGCTTCAACTTCCTGTTCCAACACTTCAAGCAGCACTACCTGACACACATCTTCCCCTCCATGTCCAGCACAACCAGCCTGTATCAGCCAAACCTAGGTATACAACACAGTTACACTGACGAATTTAGCTTATTTGGCAATAACATATAAAGGCACACTAACTGTATAGGCACACTATAAAGCCTATGCCTGAATTTTTTGTAAGACATTCATTCAGAAACTAATGTAGGAAACCATTTACATAGACAATCTTTACTTGGTGTGATGCCTATGGAGTGTGACATACTGTATGAAAAACCAGTCATGCTTTCATGCCATATAATATTTGATTCCTACATGGCCATTGTGGTTTTTCTGTCTATTCTCTAGTTATCCCCCAGCCAAGAATACACAAACATGGCGACAGGACAGACAGTGTCAGGGGAGGGGACCCATACCTGTCTGCACGGGTGTCAGTCATCAGATGGGGTGGTGGCCTTCACACACGAGCTCAGGAAACCACCACAGTCTCCTACTGGGTACGGAAGGTTGCCTTTGTGCAATTGTCACACGGCTGAATACTTTAGGTGGTTCAACACATAAGTGATGATAAATTAGGTACATGTACTCCTGGTGTTTGTATGGATGAAAGGATCCTTCAAGCATAAGTAGCTATGCTTGAAGGATTGCAGTGATTTTCAAATGATCTCTTGTGGAGATATTAAGATATGAAACTGACTAAGTGTGTATTTTGATGCAATTTCCACACACCCTCAGGACCAGTCAGGCTGCCCCACATGAAGAGCAACAGAAGAAACATATCCTCACCCAGAAGAACCTGGAAGAGTAAGTCCAAAGTGTCACAAATTCTCTAAGCACTTCACATTGAAAGCAGTACTCACTGCAAGTCATTTGGTATTGAAGTCCTCATTGTAGCAGAAATAAACTCCTTTTCTGACCACTTTCCTTTTTAAAGATCCTCCGAGAAAGCAGCTTCATCCCAGGACACGCCAGACACGCGCGCAGACACGGGGGAGCAGAGCCACAGTAACACCAGCACCCTGACGGAGAAGGAGCCCAGCACCTCCAGTATCTCCAGTCTGGAGGAGGGCGTGCACTCCGAACTCAGCGACTCAGACATGGTCAAAACCATCCTCTTCTCATCCAGGAGAAATGTGGACTTTGTACACGAGATGCTCAGACAGGTAGGGTTAGGATCCAGATTATATCAGAACAATTAAATTGGCTTTCTTTTTTTTTCATGACACCTAATCCTAAACACGAGTTTGCCTTCCTTGTTTGTAGGGTATGCTGCTACCTTTCACAGAGACCTCTGCTGTTAGGAAGGTCATCAAGGTGTACCAGGACTGGATACAGGTATGTGCTTAATTTAAAAATGGCTCATTGACAACTTTCCTGAACAGTATCATATTATACTTACCATCAGTAATGTTCCCAAGGCTTATGATGTGTTTCCTGTTATGTGTTCATGTAGCAAGACCACCCTGTGTTTATGGAGGAGCCAGATCAGTTTGTGTGTTCTCCCATGTTGGGTATCGCCTCTGACCCCAGCTCTCAGCCCCAGGACAGTCCGCTGCAGCAGGAAACATCTACAGATGGACCGCCACAGGTCAGATGGCTGTAAATCAGGCTTGGAAGTGTCTTGCCTTGTGTTTTATGCATTTGGTGTATAGGACAGGACTGTAATGATTTTCTTGAATGGGTGAGTTTTTAAAACTGTGATTGATTGTGTAACAGTTGGATAAGTTGTGTTGTATTTTGACCAGGTCCCAGGTGAAGCTGAAGTAGCGGGGTACCCCTTACGGAAGAGCCAGTCCAAGAGTCGACTGCGAGCGGCTTCATACGTTGGTGCAATCAACACGGCGGTGAGTGAGGAAGAAGGAGTGGAAAATGTCCGGGCAGGGAAGAATCCAACACTCCAGGTGTTCTTCACTAACTCAGCCAACATCTTCCTCTTAGAGCCCTCCTATCAGGATGCCAAACTTGTGGATGACCAGGTAAGTACAATCTGACATTCTGCTGTCCTACAGACCAACACAGTAGATTTACAATGTATCTGTCATTAAATTGTCTAATTTCTAAGTTGTGATGAAAGTTTCATTCATCCTCTATTTCTGTCCTATACAGGTTGACATGTGCAAAAAAGTGCTGAATATCTACCGCTGGACGGTGATGAATGTACAGATGGACAAGAAGACATGGGAACAGCTGCTCCTCGTGCTGCTGCGGATAACAGAGGCCACGCTGAAGGACCAGCCTGTGGGGCGGGGCAAGAACACGCTGGGGGGCAGGCTGGCAGCTGCTCTGTTCCAGGTGTCTACTGTCTCTTTTCACATATTCTGTGCAGTTTGAGGCAAACTAAAGCAATTTTGTATTCTTTGAATCTCTTGACTTCTTAGTTGCTCATCAACTTGAGATGATATTACCAAGGTCTTAGCACCATGATAACAGCAACAATACTTGATTTTAAGCCTTACAATGTACATTCCAACTTGTTTCTGAGAGTAAAGTGTCCATTGAGTGTTCTTGATTTCCTATATATCATCTTGTCTTAATACCTATTATAACCTTTATAATTGTGGACATATTTGACTTTAAGATTTTCCTAGTTTCTGTCCAAATTAAATGTGACCTGTGTCTAAGATGATACTCAACATTTCCTGTCTGTTTCCCGTCCAGACACTGATTGTGACATGGATCAAGGCTTGCCTGAATGTGCACATCTCCCATGAGCTGTGGGACCAGCTGCTGAGGGTGCTGTCTTCCCTCACACAGTGGGAGGAGCTCATCACAGAGTGGGCTGTGAGTACAGCAATGTGGTTGGAACAGTCTGTTAGGTGTCATGAAACCTTGTAATGATTATAGTGATTGCATTATTTGAAATGGCTTTGTAAAAAGCTAAAACGGACTCACATTTGGTTATGTGCATGTAGGTAGTACCGGTAAGTCAAATGTGTAACAAAAGTGTATCTGATCTTTAGATCTTTGATGGCAGGTGGGGACTGTGTTTTACAGAAAACTATAGAGACCCTGACCAGAGTGCTGGCACGGCAAGTCTACGGGCTGGACCTGAACGATCTCCCACTGGACAAACTGAGCGAGCAGAAGGCCAAGAGAAGGAAGGGGAAGGGCATCCCTGTGTCCAAGAAAACAAGGACAGCAGAGCGGTCATTCTCCCGAGGATGGAGCAGATACGAGGGGAACAAGGAGAAGGCAGAACAGGTCAGTGTTTGATTGGGATGTTGTACATTCCACACTCCAAAATGTTTAAGGCTGACGTGTGCCTAATAGTAGGTACACTAGAAAAGCACAGTCAAGACTGGAGAGAGGTGAATTTTAATCTCGTGAGTATGTACAATAGTTTTGCAGTTATTAAATTAGCAACAGGTACAAACCAATTATACTGTAATGACTTTAATACATGTATCCCACCGTGCCCTGAGTTAACAGCATTGTAATGTGGAGGTCAACTCAGTTTTGTCAGGAGGACACTGGCAGTCACTTAACAAAGTTAAGCTTAAGTTAAATTTGCCATGATGATAGACAGTATAGTTCCATGGGCTGTACAGTTGTTGTTCTGTTTAGATGAGACACAGGAGTGCCACCACAGTTGGGGCTGGTGCCAGTAGGGAGTCTAACATCCAGCAGGCTGCTGCCAGGGCCAGGATTGGTGGTGAGCAGTCTACAGTTATCACACATTCACGATTGTTTATTTCTACCAGTTTCACGGGTTACATTGACAAATTGGAGCACTTTGGGTTCCAGTGTCTTTGCATTATTTACTAGCGCTTTAGTTGCATAGTAGATTAAGGATGCAGAGTAGATTAAGGATGCAGAGTAGGTAGTAAGTCACAGGTAACCTCTGATTTGCTAAGCTGAACATGAATGGTCAAAGTGACTTCTGCAGTGAATATAATTATGCAAAACTATGTATGATTTGGCAATTGGAAGCCAAAAATGTGACTTACTGTAGTTTCAGTTTGGTCCCTTTACATGTACATGTGTGTTGTGATGGACTGTCATGGTTACTATAGCAAAACAACATACTAGTATTTTACTAAGTTTGGATGATCATTTGAACATGTAACAACTCATTGAAATGTATTTAATTTATTTTTATGTAGAAAGCTTTCTGTCATGGAGACCTGGTGCATGTAAGGAAACATTAATTGAACTAATAAGTGTTTCTTCCTGGTATAATATGCACTGGGCACTGTATGTTGTGTCTGCACTCTGCACACAATTGCATCATATTCATGGTAAAAATGGTAGCTGTGAGATCTGGTAAAGCATCATTTATACTAGTAGTGGAGGGACTGTTCATTGAGCGATGCTTGCTTGCCGTATCCTTTGTTGAAATGAAAGGCTGAAATTCTAGAAAATCCAAGTAAACAAAAGTCTGCTCTTCTCTGTTCTAAAAAATGCATCTGTACATTAAAGGCAACATGATTGGAATTTTCCCTTCTCGTGTTTAGCCCTTCTGTATGACTTTCATTGATCAATTGGAGAAAAAACAGTCAGTACGTCATACTGAATTGAAGGATAAAGCAGCTCATTGTAACCAGACAACACAGCTACCATGTCCTGTTGAGTGTGCAGTTTGTGCTGTAACATGGCTGGTTGTCCTGCATGTTGTGGAGGTCTCACCGACTAAGTGGGAGTTGTGGGTATTTTCCAGGGGAGGAGAATGGCCAGCTACAGGAGCCCCAGCCCACAGATGCACAGCTATCCTCCTCTTACCCCACTTCAGGAATGACAGAAAGTACTGGTGCATTTCATTAATACTGTCAATAAACTGTCTAGGGCTCAAAATTTCTGGTTTGTGAACAAAGTCATTGTCAGAATTGATTGAGTAGTTTTGAAGTGTGGAAAATCTTGTTCCTTTTGCTAGTTATGGATTGTAGCTGAGTGCAGTGCTGTGGTGCTTTAGGATAGACAGGTGTGACGTTTTCATGATTATTCAGACAATGTAGATCCCATTTCACGGAAGTGAGTATGGGCTTCCATAGCAAATTTTGAGCCCTAATCATATGTGTCATATTTATTTATTTATTGACACTGCCCTCCCCTGTCCTGATGCCCTGCTTGCTGGTGGCTTGTAGGCTTCTCCTAACTTCATTTCTCCCTTTCTGCCAACCAGGTTACCAACTCATCTGGGACTGAGCTTTACTACAGTTACATGAAGACTTATGCTTTCTAGTTCCTACCTTACTGTTTTTTAGTTGCATGCGTGCTGCTTCTAAATGTTTGTGCATCAACATACCACTAACAACATCCTCACACATTCACAACAACAACAAACTTGCATGGACAGATGTTACTCATAATCATGGTACATGTACATACATTTTCACAATGTTTTTGTTTTAGTTTTTCAACTCTAAACTAAGTCATTCCTGCCAACAAACTTCTACATCTACATGTTATGTATTTTATCTAGAAACACTATTACATATACATTTTATGTTGGTGTCCTCCTGCTTTTGCCTGATTGAAATTGTGACATCTTACCCAATGTAGCTCTTGTTGGGAGGCACCGTCCCAAACTGGAGAGAACCCGGTCTCAGAGCGGGGAGCCTGCTGTCATGCAGGAGGACTCCAAGTACCCGCTAGTGCGCAGCAGCAGTGCAAGTGACATCATGGAGGAGTTTGCTCGCGATCGTCTGAGAATAGACAGCACCGAGCTGCCGGGAGAAGACATGGGCAGCCAGGACAGCCTGGGAGAGTTCATCAAGCAGAGGCTGCAAGGTGAAAGTTCAACCCTTCAGAGCATGCTCAATAGCTTAAGGTCAAAGTTCAAGAGGTCCAGTCCAGCATCTGACACAGTGGTTACAGAGCTTACAAAGAGTCCCCCTGCACCTGCCAGGAGAAGTTTTATTTCCACCTGGATTAGTCCCAGTGCACCTTCCCTACAAGTGTCTGATACACAGGTCACCTGTTTAGATAGCCCTTCAGATACAAGTAGGGTTGAGGCTGGAGAGCTTTCAAAGCTCAGAGCTATGTTGAGTACTCTTCTTATAGACCATAGTCCTCAACCACTCAGCAATTCACATGCCTCCTCATCTACTCACCAGAATGTTTTGCTAAGTGCTTCTTCAGATCAGGTGCAACATGTGTCAGCAGATTCTGAGAGAAGTCATCAGGAGACTTTCAGGTGTACCCCACAAGTCGGTACAGCCAGGACAGTCAGTCAGACTTGCCCAGATGAAGTCCCCCTTATTCAGCTAGATATTGAAGATGATGTAGAAACAACACCAGCAGATTATGATTATGACAGTAATGATTATGATGAGGATAGTCATGATGACAGTGAAGGTGATAAGGACAGTCAAGATGAGGACAATGATAGCAAGAGTAGCTTCCAATACATGTACCAAAGTCTAGAAGACAACTCTGAGACAGAGGCCTTGTCATCGCATTTGGAATATAAATTTCCACCTGTTAGTAAAGGGCAGGCAGTAGAGACTAGGACCAGTAAAAAGAGCGTGCTAGACAATCATCATCAGCAAAAGATGCTTGCATATCATGCTTTTCCTGTTGAAATTGGCATTACTGTCAGTGGGGAAGATCAGAAAGAAGGATGCCAAAGACAAGCTAAGGAAAGTACTTTTGTAGTTAGAGAAAGGAATGAGAATGTAGACATATATGGCAGACTGTTAGCCTGTGAGGAGCCAGATACAGACATGTCAAGTGAGAAGACAGAACAAAGTCAACTGAAGACTGTCCTAACAGAGGAAACTGTGCCTCTACTGTGGGAAGGTGTGAGCCCTGCTGTCTCAGATACATGTAGCTCAGACCAGAAGGGAACACATGCAGGCAGGGTGTGGAGTATCCTAGGTAATGGTGGGTAAAGGAGATTTAGACAGTTTTGTTACTGTTGGAGGACGAACATGTTGATTGCTATTTAAAGCAGGATAATTACTAACATGTTCAGAGTTTAAATTGTTTTCTTTGTTCTTGTTGTGAAAGAAGAGAGTAACATGTCCATTGTTTGTACTTTCTAACTCTCTTTGCTTTTCATTTGTCAAGTTTTACCTTGTTCAGTTTTGCTTTATGTACTGTCAGATTAAAAATAATGATTAGTTCAAGATACCTCTGTAAAGATAGACTTATTCAACTTTTCAGTGCCATGTACCCTTGCTGGGAAGAATTATATTGCTATGTGATCCTCTGTCTGAACAGTGCTTCCAAATGTGTTGTAACCACAGGACAGAGCTTCAGTAGTGAGGCTAGTGCAGTTTCCACAGACACCACTTGCAGTGTGGGGGATGTTGTCATAGGTAGGTCTTCCATTCCGATCAATCTCTCCCTTACAGCTTACCTGCTCATAATCCCACGTCATGGATCATACCGAAGTGTCATCTGTTTCTTTACATGTTCATCTTCTGTGCCAATTTTGTCACAGTATTCATATGTGCCAAGCAATGTTAACTGTGTTTTGTTGATGTTTTCTTTTCATCTTTTGTTTCCTGTTTTGTCTCCTGTTTTGTCTTTCTGACCTAGTTTCCAGTCCATCTACATTCTGGGTTCCTTTTGAAGCCTCATATCTATGGGATAGTGGTTAGTCAGTCTTCTGTGATACACAATCTACATCTAAAATCATCTTTGGAGTGCAAATTGTTAATATAAAGCTATTTACATACAAAGTAGCATTAGCAGTGGACAAAGCACTGATTACTTAAAAATGAAATGGCAGTCAATTGGTGAATACAATTTTGGTTACAAACAGCTTAAAAGGGGTGTATGGCTTGTTACATTTGGGACACATACCTTCTTTCTCTTTACTTGAGCATGTTTGTGGCTGTACATGCAAAGCCTTGGAGCTATATTCTCAATGGATGCTGTTTAAGACTCTTGTTCATTTAAGCAAGTACAGTTATTAGTTCACAAGAAAGTTCAGTGGAGGCATCTCTCTCTGTAACCAAACCATGTCTTCTCTGTCCTGTGCTGCCTGTCTGTTACCACTGTGTTGCAGTCACACTTCTATACAGCCCTCTCTCTCGTATTACATCCATGTGTCGATCCTGCCCAGTTATTTCTGGAGCATCAGAGGACGTGGAAGAGATTGTAGTTGGTAGCAATGGTAACGGTAGGTTCCACCAGGGTCCATCTAAAACTAACCCACGCTCAAAAAAGGATAATACTTTGGGAGGCATTCCTCATATTCAGTGTTCATATGGTATTGTCATAGTGTTTGTCCAAATGCTAACATGTCACTAACTGAATCTTTGCTTTACAACACACAGCAGGCTTTTTATCCATTTTGATTTACTCTTTTTACCCACTGTGGGACGGGTTTATTCCATCTGATACCTATAGCCTACCAATACTTTCTCCAGTTTTGTATATGTATGCTTCTTGTTCTTGGTTTGCCTTTTACGGAGCTTGAAGTTTTCCATTTTGTCCATTGCTGTTAAGGCTGACTTCCAATGAAAGTAAAATTGTCTTCCAAGTGAAGAATACTGTTGTAGTTTTGCTAAGTTAGCTACCAGCATCATGTAGTTTTGTAGTTTACTTTATATCTTAAAATGATTACATTCTTGTTGCTTGATACCTCAGGGGCCCTTGGCAGTGAGGACAAGGAGGTTGCGAGTTACTGTACTCTTGGAGACACAGCTAGTGAGGACAGCGTGACCTTGGGGCATAGTGGGGACAGCAGCACAGGACACAGGACAACCCCAGAGTCAGCTACTATGTCCAGAGGTATGATTCTGTTCCTTTTTATATATTTTAAAGCTTATATCATGCTACCTGTTGAGTATCAGTTGTATTGTATATACTTATACTGGCAGTAGAACTTTACTACAACATTCACTCTTGTTTTTTGCATACAATTTATATCAATGTCCAGAAGTCTCTGATTCTGACCAATTGATTTTTTTCCTGAACAGGCTCAGCGACACCTTCACCATCATCTCCCACATCCCCATCATCAAGAACCCCCTCCCCCACCCTCCTCCTGTCCCCTTCCCCCACCCCATCCCCCACCGCCATGCTGGAGTCGTCCCCAGAACAGATCCCCAGTCAGAAGGACTCCCCTGCAGCAGAGAGTATGAAGCTTGATGGAGAAGTTCTAGTGGAACTAGGTATGTACTGATTACATACATGTAAGAAGCTAAATGATAGTAAGGAAATGAAGGTCTTGAGCCAAAGCTGCTATCTTGTATCTTATAGACAGCAATCCGAGGACAGTAGTGTTTTATTGAGGTTGCCCTGCTCCATGTATCTTACAGACAGCAGTGAAGTGCAATCCGAGGACAGTAGTGTAGTGACGGGCGGGTCCCTGCAGGGCTGGTTCCCTGACGCTGCAGTCATCGTCTGGAGAAGGATGCTGGGAATCCTGGGAGACGTGAATGAGATCCAGGATCCAGAGATCCACTCACAGGTGTTTGACTACCTGTGTGAGCTCTGGCTGGTTCTCATGAAGGTGAGAACTTGATTCTGACAATGTTTTTTAAGAATTAGTGCTTTAAAGTTTAAGACTATTGATTACAATTTTAACTGTACAAAAGTAAGCCAAACATGACAATTTGAAAATTTCTGTTGACTTATTTTTCCTGTTGAGTTGTTTTTTGTTGAAGAACAGTTTATTTGTCATTAAGGATTTAATGTTTCTAACTATGTTTCCAGTTGAGAGACAATTTGGGCATCACCACCGATAACCTAGAAACACCCCCACCTCCAGAACTGTTGCCTCCACTGAATGTGTTCGCACCATGGCTGTTCAAGGTAAACATAAGAATGCAGGTTTATAAACACTGTAGAATATTATGCACAACATTCACTGTAAGCATGTTCAAAAGGAACTGTTACTACTGTCACAAGTGTTACATTGACATATGCAGTTTGTTTGATGTTTTATATGCAATGTTGTCAGGTATGAATTTGGGTTTTCTAAATATTATCATCCGAAAATCTGTTTAGAATTGAGTAACCAGTAATCTTGATTGTCACCTGATCTTTCAGGCCATCTCCTTGCCCAACAAGTACAAGAAGGGACAACTGTTTGCTTACAAGCTGCTGTGCAGGATGACCATCAGACGTCACGATACAGAGCTGAGCAGGGAACACCTAGCTCTGTTCTTCCACGCACTGCACCATGGCCTGCTTAGTGCTGATCAGGTAAGGGAGAAAGTCCAGTCAGCTCTTTGGAATACATTACTGATCAGGCATTTCTTTATGTACACTGTACATTTAAAGCTTAGTAAAAAAGTCTTGAAAAGTCTTACTATGCCCATCTTATGTTTCAGGACATTGTTAACGTACTGGTGAAGAACTGCTGCCCCTTGTTCTTTGCTCTGGACCTGTCTGGTTCCTCCATGTTGGTCCTGGACTTCATCCATGCTGCCAACACAGTGGCCAACAGCTCAGATATGAATGTGTGTACTGTGTTGCCTTTCTGTTGATTCAAACAAGTTTTTTATTGTGTTACCATTTGACTATGTCTATTGTAACCTATTTGTCACAACATTTCACACAGTAGTTGCACTAAAGTCCACTCATACATGTTAATGTCTGGGATTTGGGAAGGTTTGCAAAATGGAACACAATTGTGAAAAGTATGAGAAAATTTTGTACATGTTTCTCACATACTTCTTCAATGTTTGTCAGCCATAGTATTTCTGCCATTCAGTTGTACTTATTTCTCATTGCATTCCCCCAGGCCCCCCGAAGTGAGGCCCAAGCCCTGCTGGGTTCCCTGCTCTGCATTCCAAACCTGCTTCATGACATGCCGGTCCTACAACCCACCTCTGCTGAAACGGCTACCATGACATGTAAGGACGTCAAGGATCACATTGTAAATATACTCCTAAAGTCTGGCAAGAAGGAACCAAATGTACAGGCAAGGTAAGCTGTAGCTTAGTATGTTTTTGGAAGATTCTTAAATGAATGAGTATTGGTTTTTGTATTTACTGCTTGACACTGGGCAGGCAAATCTATTCCCTTAAAAAGCTTTTCTTTCCAAACCATACATTTTCTACTGCCATTTCACCAGCCAAAGCAGCACGTCTCTACTATGACTCTATGTGCAATCAGTAGTGCAGTTTGGTGTACACTATGATCCACTGTTCCAGATGTACAGTGTTAAGCTGCCTGGGGATCTATCTGTATGAGGAACTGGCCCACAACACCCACCATCCAAAGATGAAGGATGCCATTAACGTCCTGCTAGCTTCTCTCAAGGTCAGACCCTGCTCCCTGCCTAACTAATACAGAATTTGTTGCCAAAAACAGCTACTTAAAGTGAGCTAAAGGTTAATGTATGGACATGCAATATGTACTTTTGTGTGAAAGCACTTTGTAAAAATGTTTACCTGTTTGTCTCCTCTTTGTAGCTGTTCCAAAATATTAACATTTACATAAATGTCAGTGACAGTAGTGAACTAGAATTCAAACGCAGCTTTCTTGCTGTCTGACTATGTTCCCTTTGCTGTACCCTGGCAGTTTAACCACAAGACGGTGGCACAGGTGGCATCTGACATGCTGCTGCTGCTGGCCCAGCAGGTGGACAGGCTGGCACACCTGCAGAACGACCTGCCAAAGAAAATCACTGAGGTACAGAACAGCTGTTCGAAATGAAGTGCCATGTCTTCAGGCTTCCTGATTCAGTGTTCATCATGCTGCACCATTTACACATTCAAATGTTCTGAATATGCCAAACACAACAACAGTCTCCTCCTATACCTTGTACCTCTTTCTGTGTTGCAGAGCATAGCACTGACAATCACTAGCCTGTTATCCAGCCCAGAGACATCCACCACTGAGGCTGACAAAAAGGTAAACCGACATGAAGTCAGTCCCATAGTATCTTTATTAGTCTGGCTCAGTTGGGCTTCAAATTAGGCAGAAATATAACAACTTACATACTGCTATGATTTGAGTTACACTGACTAGTGACCATATCAAGTATATATTTACGCCATACTTCTTAGAATTTTTGTGCAAAGTTTTTGAATGGAAATGGTTGTGTCATTCAGGATAGTTCAAAGGTCTGATTGGTGCCCTACCTTCCCTCAGGTGGTTGTGTCCATGTTGTTCTGTCTGCTGGAGTGGTGCATGGCCCTGCCTTTCTCAGTCCTCCTCACAACATCTGCCGAGAACAAGAGAAGCCTCATCCTCACTGTGTTCAAGGTAAGGCATGGAGGTGGTGCATAGTGGGTGTGTATTCTTCATCCACAGTTTTTATCATTTTTTATATTATTGAGTTGACTGACATTTAGCCAAGACTGCCCAACAAACATGTGAATGCAGAACTAATGCAGAACCATGGCATACTGTCCTTTATACATTTTGGACATTTGGAAAATTATACTTACATGTGCGTAGATTTCTAAGAAACGTATATCAAAGAGTTGAAAAATTTACTCCATGAGGTACTGAACATCAATGTGCTGCAGCAACTTTTAATCTGAGTCTACTGCTGTTGAGTTGATGGATTGTGAAACTGTTCTCACAGGTTCTCCAGACAGCTGTTCAGGGTGCAGGCAGCCCCAGACATAGTGTAGTGTTGACAGAACTGGAGTCCATCTGTCTGGATAATGTGAAAGACGTGACGGGGAGAAGTGAGCCAGCTTCACCGTCTACCCCTCCTGGAACCGAGCAGGGCATTCTGGAGGAAGGTCAGGTTATTTACAGCGATCTTGATTTGAGTTTAATTCCTATATTCATGTATTTCATATATCCATGAGAAAAAATCTGTAATGTAAGAAAAAGAGAATATCAACTGAGTTGATGTCTTTCTTTTTGCCAATAGAGACAACATCAAGTCCTTCCTTTGAGTATCCTCAAGAGGGGTTAGACATGGTCAGTCTTGCAGCAAGAACGGTAAGAACAGTTACCATTCCTAGATCCAACATTCAGCTTCAATATCTTCTGCTTAATTGCTAGTCTTTGCATGAATTAGGGTATAACTTCAATGGTCAATGATTCAATCATTTTAACAGTAAATTCTGAAGAGGTCACAGCACGTAATATATTAGTTGTAAATTCTCGGGACTGTGCAAAAATATGTTGGAGGTCCCTGCTGGGATAATCAAGATCTCACTAAACATAAGGAAGCCTTTCAAGATGTTTTAATTCTGCCTGTCTCCTCCCGTGTGACAGGTGTTGAGTCATCTTGTTGATCATATCGGGCACTTCCCGCTGGGCGGGGGTCCAGCTGTACTGAACAGCCTGGTACACGAGATAGACGACTGTCCAGAACTCACCTTCATGGACGACCTCACGCTGGAGATATTCCAGGCACCAAATGTACAGGTAGGTCCAATTAGTTGGTTTGTATCTCACAGCTATAAAGTTAGATGTGTACAAATGCAGAAATAAAACACAACACACCCCTGTCATTCCATAGTCATGATTGATAATGTGACTCAACAGTATGTATGAGATGATGATTTTATTTGTCTCTTATCTCTACTGCCCTTCTGTTGTTTCCCTACAGTTCTTTGTGCTGAACAACAAGAACATCATTTCTGTGGTGGAAATTCCAGCAGAGGTGAGGAACTACTTTACCAAAGGACAGACCACAACGGGTGGTAAGACTGTAAGGGGTGGTGGGAATATCAGTGTAAAAACTTGGCATTGCCAAGGAAGGTGTTTAAAAAGGGAAGGAGAAAAAGAGAAGTTGTCATTTGAAGTGTTTCACTGAGACATTCTGCCTCTTAAAGATGTTATCATATAAAATGGGCCATGTATATGTTTGTATGGACAAATTCTGATGAAGATATTTTCCAGCTGTCAGAGTGGTTAACTAGAGCAAAGATCTCCTAATATACCTTTAAACACCATATTTACTAGGATCTCCCTGGAGGAGGAGCTACAGGAGGTCTGACCACAGGGAAGATGCAGGCCCGCATGATAGTGCGGGACATTGGAGGGAAGTATGCCTGGGACTGCTCCATCCTGTGGGGGCCGCCCAGGTGCAGGACAGGCTCCTGTCTCGGTCAGTATCTCAACATGTGAAGGGCAGGAGATTTACAATGTACCTGCCTGTTACTCTTGACAATTAATGTTTGACATTATACAACTTGATTTGTCTCCACTGGTTCATCTGACATGACAGTTGGTACTGTTCTCTGTACAGCACCAGTGCAGCTGGGCAGTATCTCTCTCCATGACCCCAGCCTGCAGCCTGACCCTGTGCAGGGAGGGGAGACAGAGCAGGGAACACAGGACCTGGTACAACACAGGGACTCCGGCACCATGCCTGCCTGGGACAACATTCCACAGCACCTGGATGTACTGGATGAGGTAAGGAAAATCAGTTTAACATTTTGTGACTCCTTACCATTTCTGCAGTGGTAATGGTGTCTCATGCAAAGCCTGCTATTGCAGTGAATTATTAAAAATGAAATAAGCCTATTTGTAAATGTAGATTTCAGGTATCTTTTACTGAGTAGATACTGTAAATAGCAGTAATTAGTTCTGCAGCAAGGTTACAGGTCCTTGGTGCTGAAATGCCATCAAGTGTATCTGTTGTTGTATATGATGAGTATGTTTACAAAATTGTATATAGTCAGAATAAGAAACCTCAGATGTAGGCTTCTGTGAGATTTGTGTACCTGTTGTAGGATAACAGCTGTATTGTGTTGTCCCCAGATGCTGCAGTACATCGGCCACACCAGCCCGGAGTGCCTGCAGAAGCCAGGAGAGCCCCTGAATGAGCCAGCCTACCCACCGGAGGAGATCGTCACAGAGAGAGAAGACTCCACCATCCAGGCTGTTCTACAGCAGCAGGACATCGAGGCAGACTACGTCAGGCAGCACGTCAATGACAGCAGGTAGAGAAGGCTCCGTGGAAAATTTTAAATGACAAATCTTGCCTGTATGCCATTATCATAACAAAGAGGGAAGAGCCTCAGTTTCACCCTAGTTGAAGCTGCCCAGTTTCAGCATTTACTGTTATCATTATTTCTGTAAGCTTATCTGGAACCCAATAATTGTGACATTTCATGTTAGGACAATATTTAGATATTTAGCTCCTTGCTCATTGTTTACATTTACCAAAATCATCATTCCACTTTTATTTATATATTTATTTGTTTTTATTTATCAATCTCAAGCCTACAATGGCTGTTTTCCAAGGGGGCCCAGCTTGTTAAAGGACAATGTTACATACAGTAAAACAAAGGAGGACAACATACAGTAAACATGAAACTTTGCATTTAGAAGCACAATATCTTCAATAGACCAACTTCTGTTGAGTTCAACTCAAATGAAATAAATGTAACCTCTAAAATCCTGTGATTGAGTGTTAATGTTTGTTCCAGCATGGTTGCCTCCGACATGACAGAGACCTGCAGCTGTGACCCCAAGTCACCCTTCCACCACTGTAGGTTCCTCCTGAACCAGCTGGGCATGCTGGCCTGGGAGAAAAGGTATGTTATTTCCACACCTGTGAGAAATCGTCTTTGAAAACATGCAGTATTTGATGAGTTAACTTTGTATTGGCTGTAGCGTAAGATAACTCAGAACTTGTATGTTAACTGTTCTGTAATGACAGGCTGATAATTCTCTCACCTCACCACTATTCCAGACCCCACCTAGACCTACTGAGGAAGAATGACAAACTTCTCAGAGAACTGAAGAACCTGGACTCAAGACACTGGTGAGTAGCAAACCAAGCTGTGACTGCACATGCTTTTACAGCAAATTTGTTATGATGTTCACCTATGTCAAGTATGCTCAAATACTAGTATCCAAAAGTCAATGATTAGACTCAAATTTTACAAATCAATAACTTTTTAAAAATTTTTGTGTAATTTGAATCCTACAGACTGTATGAGTTGTTTAGTTGTCAGATCTTCAAAGCTTTTCCTGCATGTTCATCCTAGTATGTTGTCTACAGCATCTAACTAGTAGACTGATCTTGCCTTTTTCTCTCCAGTCGAGAGACCCACAAGATCGCTGTCATCTATGTGGCAGAAGGCCAGGAAGACAAACATTCCATCCTGTCCAATCCTGGAGGTAGCCAGGCTTATGAGGACTTTGTGGCAGGGTTGGCTTGGGAAGTAAGTTTCTCAACTGCAGTTCTGTTCCTTGTTGTTAGGGGGTATTTTTGTATCAAAGGTACACATTTCCAAAAGAATTTACAACGACACAAAAGTATATCATGATCAATTCATGTTTCCAAGGAGAACTCTTCATGGGCCCAGGCAAGTCTTTGATGGCATTTCTATCTCAGTAATATGAAATTCAATTGAATGAAATGTTTGTAGTGCATACAGGAGATGTAACAATCAGCAGGGTGTTATATCATGACTTGTGCAAGAGCGCCTCCTATCATGTCATTCCAGGTGGACCTTGCAGGCCACAGAGGCTTCATGGGTGGACTACAGAGGAACAGGAGTACGGGTGACACTGCCCCGTACTTTGCCACTTCAACCATGGAGGTCATCTTCCATGTGGCTACCCGCATGCCCACAACCACTGATGACTCCAGAACAAAAAAGGTAGCTGACAAACAAAGCTGTATTTTCATGTTTCAACCACTTACAACCAGTTTTTAAAACCACAGATAATAAAAACGTTCCAGTCACTTGATGATAATAGGGAAAAGTTTTCTCTTTCCACTGTGTGAATCCACAGGAATAGATGCAAACAAGGTATTTTCATTCCAGGTGTATACACAATGGTATTTGGCTATTGAATTGTCGGCTCTCCTCTTTGATCCTTCAGAATAGGTAAATTGCAGATAATATAATCATCATGAAAGGAATCACAGTTAGTGGCTATTTATAGGGTATCTTCATGGCAAGCCCTGTGCTTTTGATAAAGGTCAGTTTAGAGTGAAAATAGGACATAGACCAATATGCAAGCAAATCTAAGCTGATGAAAAACCCATGGCTTTTGTACTTTTGTAGATATGTCTCTAACGTCTTTCTTAGAATTAAAGATTAAGGAACTTAAGGATGTTGTCTTTGATATGAAGTTCCAAAGATCCAGTGTCCCCAAATGCAAATTTTGCTTTGAGTTTTATGTAAGTGGTCTTGAGGTCAAAATTTGTCTGTTTAGGAGCTGCTATAACTTGTCAGTATTGTACTAAACTGAATCTTCATTTGAATTGGAAAGCTAGTGCAACCTGCCTAGGTTGTGGGTTCAGCCTTTTTTTTATGAATTCTTGTATTGATAGGCTCAAAAAACATTTCAGCTAGCAATAACAATTGTTTGGAGACCATTATAAAAACTCAAAACAATCAAACTGAGTCATTTTACATCAGTTGTAGCCATTCATTTGGATGTTGATTACCACAATTTGATATTCTGTTGCTGATAAATAATCAAGTCATGATAGCATCACATCCATAGTTAGTATTACAAACTGTAATGAAAAATATTAATGAACAATTGTAAGATATTGTCTATGTTTGATTCTATGTTAAATTTACTTCCCTTTACAAATAGGAATGGAATGGAATGGCCTGTACTACTGTACATGTAATTGCCTGTCTACTGATGTTTGATAAATGGTTATTAAATCTGATAGAATATGGAATGTGAGAATGTCAAAAGTCATGTTAGACATGTTAAGCCTCTTGATTTCTTAATGCAGCAAGATTTCACATATCAAATAAAGATCATGACCTCTGCATAATTATGGTAACTTCATACAGAGAGATAATGTCAGTAAGTTTTTTAAAGTTCCTTGTGTCCTTGTTTTTTCTCAATCCACATTGAATGACATTTTTGGTGGTCTGGTTCCATGTGTCTTAAGACTTGTCCATGTCACCTGTCCAGCTGAGGCACCTGGGGAATGACGAGGTCCACATCGTGTGGTCGGAACACACGCGGGACTACCGACACGGCATCATCGCCACCGAGTTTGGAGATGTCCTGATTGTCATCTATCCCCTGTCCAACCACCTGTACAGGATCCAGATCCGCAGGAAACCACAGGTCAGGCTCTAATTACTCCTCTCCAGCTGGGCTGGAAACAGGCAGGCACAGTCAGGCGCACCGATTTCCTTCATTATTAGGCTACTTTATGTCAAATAGATGACAGAGACTTGATAATTGTCAGGACCCACCCCCTGCTCTGATCTTCTCAGTCATAACATTTCATTTCTACGCCTTACATTATTTACCTTATTATGTTCATGATGCATTTTTTATTTCTGAATTACCACTTACACCAATGTGTTGATGTGTTGATCCTTCTTGTTTTTATGGGTTCACCACACCACGAAGTGGTGGTGAACCCATATTGCTTTTTCTGATGTTTCTTCTTCTCCTCCTTCTCCTGCCATTTTTTAAATGGATTCAGCTTCTTCATTTTAGGGCCCAAGGTCCTGAAATTTGGTATGGAGGTACAGTGGGCAAATACCCCTAGGCGTTTTTTAAATTATTGTGATACAGGCTTTTAGAATGGTTTTATTTGAGTTTTTTGGCTGTGTTATAGCAAATGTATTAGTGTGTTAGTGTGCCTTGTTTACCACGTTTGGGCATGAGTCATCACAATGGAATGCAGGGCATCAACCAATAGGCATGCAGCTTTCCTCTATACTTCTTGCTGATTGGCTGTTGGGATTTAACTTGATTAACACCTGCACAGAGCATTTCCACCTGCACAGAGCATTTCTTGCTGATTGGCTGTTGGGATTTAACTTGATTAACACCTGCACAGAGCATTTCCATACTGACAGTATGTCTGTATTCAAGTGTTTTGGTAGGTATTTCAAGCTTTCCTGCTCCAGCATTGGAATGCGGGGCATGGACGTTTTTTTTAATTTTGAAAATCAACAGTTTGCATTATGCAATTAAAAATCCTAACCAATAAAGTAGGGAATAGCTATCCAACTGTTGTTTTAGTTGTATGTTACTTCATATTACAGTTATATCAATGTAAATCATTGTTTTCCCTTGTGTTTCTCATTCTTTCCCTGCCATGTCGTAAAATGTGGTGAACCCATCGCTGTATTTGCTCCAAAGCAAATATTGGCCTTTCTAGTTTTTTTTATTTTTTAAAGTACATGTACACATCAAGAAGTAGAATATCTCATACTTATTCCCAACCCATCTCTTTTTTTTTCAATTCCTAAAACCTTCCTCTGATGCTGTTGTCATTTGAAATTTTGAAATATCATAAGGAACTGTAATCCTATTTCAGCTTGTTGAGTGTGTGGCAAAGTCACTTGTGTCAACCAAAAGACAGTGTTTCTCACAATATGGTGGTGACAGTCACAAAGATGTTCAGCAGTTAGGTTGTTCAAATTTGTATTTCCAAATTTAATATGACAATTGTTCATCCTTGAATCTGTCACTTCCAAACTTACAGTTTCTATTGACTTAATCTTGGTACCATTGATAAAGTATGGTATCGATACATCATATTGTCATTGAAGTGTTGCTTATGGCATACAAAAACTGGATAATACATGTATCTCACTAATGCTCTTCAGTTGGATGATTGGTAGGAGGTTGGCTAAATTTACATGTTGGGTGTCAGTGACCAGCCATTTTGGGTACATTTTTGTATCTAGCATGACATTGTGCTTCTGTTCTGTTCTATTATAATCCATGTGAATTCTTGTGATGGAGTTGACCTTTCTAGTTGAGCAAATCAGTGCTCCTGTGGTCAAAGCAGTCACGGTGGTTGTTGAAATGCCTCGAATCTGATAATGGCTATAGTGACAGCCAGTGTTTTTAGTGTGGTACATTTTATGGCTCATAATCCTGTATCAAGTGGCAAGCCATTTGTGATACAGTTGGCTTCATAGCTATGTCTTCAAGTAGAAGCCATTAGGCTTGAGGCCAGGCTCAGGTGGGAAGGCTTTCCTTGTAATTCCTCTCATATTTGCACATTCATATAGGTGGAGTAATTTGGTAGTGTACATGTATACCAGTAACCCGTGACATGGTTTCTTATGTAGGGCATCTGGCTTTGTTGTAAAAAGTCTTCCTACCTAATGTTAATTCAGTAATTTTTTTAGAAATGAAACCTCCTTTCTTGTATTATTTTTTCTCCTCTTAATCCATATGTCAAGTCAATAACTGTTTGAGATGACGTTTCCACATGTCTGGCAAAAACTGAAATTCCTTGAAAACAGGAAGCTGTCTTGATACATGGCAAGCCTCCGTGATATTTACCTCAGTAGCTCTGACCTTTTAATGTAATAGAGGATACCCTGGCTATATGGAGTACATGTATATTTAAACTTGTTGAGGTCAGTGACTTTTCTTGGAAAGGTCAGGGACCTCCTAAGAAAGTCAGTGACTTATGTCCCCTCTTTTGGGATATTCACAGACTTCTATACACAGCCATCTTTGCAATTATTATTGTAAAATAGCAGTCCTTGGGTACTTTTTGGACTTTTTTGGAGCAACTGACTAAGAAGTATTTGAAGTATTCTAGTTAAAGTTTGTGGGACAGAATAATGTGTATACTTTGGGGAGGAGCAAAAATAAAAACAGTACAGTGAGTGTACATTACATATTACATGTACATAATACTCAACCATTACCGTTCTCTAAAAATGTTGTATTTACCTTTAATTGATATAGCAATGTAGGAATGTCCATTGGAACATTATAGGTATTACTAAGGTAATATAGTGAAGCCATCTAGATGTCCAGTCACATAGGACCCTTTCATTTTAGCTCAACAGAGCCATATATAAAGCACATTTGTGCACATATACATTGTATGGTTGGAAGAAAATGGACAGTACAGTAGTATGATCACAACGACTTATGCTCAATCCCTCACCAATATGGCTGCCATGGAAACACAGCCATGACTTAGTTTCTCCTGCTGTACCTGTTGCTCAGCCCTCAGGCACATCCTGGACAGAACTACGGCATGTTATGTTACACTGGAAATGAAAATCGTGTTTTGCATCTTAATCATTCTCAGTATGACGATCACAAGTTGAACAATACATCTTTCAGCAGCAATATCTCTTCAAAAATAAATGTAGGTTCATCTCAAGTCACTGATATTAACCCAGATTTCTTGACATGTTTCTTTAATGATGTCAATAGATCCAGATGTAAAACACAAACCATTGATGGCTAGCTTTCATGTTAGCAATAAGGGTTATCTAAAGACTGTTCCATGTGTTGTCAATATTCATCTTAATTATGTCAAAGCAGATCAGCCTGCAGCTATAGAGCTTTTCATCTTCCCATGTTCATGTCAGGTCTTCTGCAGCCTGCAACGTTTAAGCCTGTTCTGCATAATCACGGCTGGAGTGGAAGTTGTTCTTTTCTTAGCATGCCTATAAGACTTATGTCAAGGATAACATTGTTTTACACAGCTGTTTATGAGTGACATGCATTGTCCGTAACTGTTTTTCTGTCAACACCATGTTAATCATTTCTCAATGCAGATCATCTTCTGATCTTTAGAATACCACACTTATTCAACACGAAAATACAGACTGAGCCTGTACCTTGTTGTAATGCAGTTTCACGGGGCTCAAAATATCTGCATACCTGCACCAGTATAGGTAACGTTCAAAATTATCTGTACAAAATTTACTGACAAATTTAGCCAGCACCACATATTTAGTAAGTCTCTCTTTAGTCCAAAAAAATCCAATTTTGAAGATGTTTCTAGTAGTAACATTTTGAATGTGGTACGATCTTATATAAAATTGTACCAGCAGACTAGCAGTTTACACTGTTATATAAAATTGTACTAGCATACTAGCAGTTTTCATATTGACCTCTTGCTAAATTTATATGATAATACAACACATTTTATTCAAGGACATTGATTTTTCGGCCTTGCAGTATCATTTGCAGTCCTATTTCTGGCAGTCATCTGATGAAAAAAAAAACGCACCTTCTTCTGATTAGTGTTTCTCGAATGAAGCCAAATTGTTTCCACATCCCAGTTGTTATTTTTACACCATAGCTGACTCATAACATTAGTCACAACACTTTAGGCCTGAACCAAATGTGAACATGTGAAACAGTGCTAGAGACAATGTATATTTAGACCTGATTTGGGAAAATTGAAATGGGTCATGCTAATGAGGCTCTGTAGCTAGTAATGAAAGAAATGAAATTATTTCTCTGGGTCTTTCTCCGAGCCATGTTGTTAGGGTATGGCCCTTTGATATGCACAGTTCCAATAAAGCTAGAAGTCCCTTAAGCTTGTTTTGCTCCTTGCTTCCATAATACTGCTGTCTGCAAGGATTTTTACTCTCCCCACATGCAAGGCTGTTAGCTAATGAGGATTACTATGGTTCAATACCCTGGGAACTGAAGGGACATGTCACCAAGAACACGGATATGTTATCAGCAAAATCATCTTAGCGAGGGATTATGTGTTTAGTCTAACATATGACAGCTTCAGTGTGAGACGGGGGGATAAGAAGTTCCTCCAAAGTCTTAAGCCTTGGCCCTTGTGGGGCTGATATTGCAGAGATCAGTCTCATTTTGCATGTAGAGACCTGTTGTTTTTTTCAATGGTATAGATCTTATGTTGAATTTTTTTTTCAATCCGTGAAATGAATGCAGTAATTTTTAATCCCAGACTGCAAAGAGTGACATGGTATTGTAACCATCTCACTGCCATAAGCTCATATGTATCAAAAGTGTATTGATCATTTAAGAATACTATATAATTCAGTGAGGAGCTGGCATGCAAAAAATTAAAGAGGCAAACAAACGAAGATACTTATTGTTTGTGGGGAGAGGAGACATTCATGACTGTCTGTTAAACACAATAAACAATCAGGACAGCAGAAAATCTCTTCCTTGGTCTGTACATGGCTCACTTGTTGGAGCTGGCGCATCCTTTTTGTGCCAACCAAAATCTGATCATTTTAATCCTTCTGATCCCTCATACACATTATATCCCCCAGTTTTAATCAGTCCCTATGCTGGAAAGGTTGGAGGATACAACTGGCTTGAAAGTGTCAAACAGGCTTTACAACATGAAATCAAATAGATTCAGCTTTAATGAGGTTTTTCTTCTGTGTAACCAGTTTATTCTGTAAGAACAGGTGTTCTTTGTTCCAGGGGTAGCCTAGAACATGCATGTTAACGACAGTAGATGAGCTGATGAGATATAATGTCTGATCTCTTCTGCTAACAGCTCTTGTGCTAAATATTACTGTTAGAGATTTACAATTGTAATTCCAAATAGTAGCAACACAAAAATGAGGCAACTCAGATATATCTGACTGTACTGTCAGTATTATGGCAATAATCAATGAACACTGCAGACCTCTGAAGTTACAAGTTATGCTACACTGCTTTCTCTATTTTTCTTAGTGTATAACACAGATGACTTAATATAACACTCTCTTGATTTTAAATTTTCATTAATGTTTACATTCCATTTTAGCAAAATCTTCAATATTGTTCTCAAGTTTCAACTCTGGAGATAAAACACAACATTTCCTTTTCCAATGCTTTGCAGGTTCCATTTTTTGGGCCACTATTTGATGGAGCTATTGTGGACTACAAGGTGCTTCCTGACCTGGTGAGAGCCACAGCCATCAATGCCAGCCGTGCCAAGAGAGCCAACATTCCCCTGTACCAGAGATTGTATCCTTCCGAAAATGTTGTGTGTTTGGTATGGTTATTTTGGTGTTTCAGTGTGTTTAAACATGTGAAAAGACCCTTCAGGTATGCTACTTGTCTTTTCCTCCTTAACCTTCTCCCTGCTACACCTAACTCCTGCACCAATACACATTCTGTGCCAAAAACCTTCCTTAGCAGTGAGAACTTCTGAAGGTTAATGTTAACAGGTCCAAGTCTACAGGTCTGAGGCATCAAGTTTGATTTTTGAAATGAAATGTTTGTTATTTGGAGGGAAACTGTTGACTAATTGGACATTTGTTACCAAACACTTTGCGTCTTTTTGGAACGTCCCCAGGGGTATATTGTGGCCAGCGCATTGTGGTCCATCCGTGGCGGGTAGAAGGAACTGTCAACAGTTATCACCCTCCCCCCCTCCCAACCTGCAGCGTATATACATGTACATGAAGCTGAATTGGTCTTTCATAGACTTCAGCATCAGTAAGTAAGTGTGTGCCCCTATGGCAATAAAAATTGGATCATAGCATAGTTTGCAGATGTCCGAGTTGAGCCCCAGAGACTTTGTCATTACCACATGCAGGAATCGCTATCAGTCTGTCCACCGCAGAGGTCGATAAGGTGTCATCTGCTCTCCCCCATGTCCAAGGGCTTTTAGTGGGCTCATCATTTGATGCACTGTGGTGAGAAATCATGTCATATCAGGTGACCTGTGTGGCCCTTGACATGACCTCACTCACTCTGACATTACTCCATGACCCCACGCTGAGCCAGGTTGCGGAAATGCGAATCTTGTAACATATTATCACAGTATTGGCTGAGTATGTTTAATGCTGGAACTGGTGGTCATGCTGTGTTAAGAGCTGTCCCAGTGGACACTCCAAGCTGGGCCGTGTGTTCTGTACCTGCCGTTTGACGGGGGACCCAGCTGTAGGAGGTACAAGGCCCATTATTTGCTGGGATGGGGCATTGTTTCCTCACAATAAAGCCGCTGCCTCCCGATCACTGACAATGTGCCGCCCGGCAGATAATTGGGTTACTGACAACCAGGCCTCTGCCTAATCAGATCTGCAAGTCCCTTTACTGATAAATGTAATCTGTGCAAAATTACCTGCAAACTGGAAATTATTGCTGGGTAACTCTGTTTGCAGGACATAAAGAGAATCTTAATGTAGCATTGAATTCTGCCCTTCCAGAGTTTCTCCCTCTAATTAGGTGTGTTACACGTTTGTGTCCATGCCAAGCCTTTCTGCAGTTTGGAAGATGTAAGCATGTAAATCACAATTTCCTTTTCAATTGGAAGTTTTGTTTTCTACATGTGAAATCGTACCAGTCTGAGTAATAGCTACTGTAGCCAATTGGTAACTGCTAATTTCTGTCCCACTGGTTTCCAGGTCTCACAATGTAATTAGGGTTCATGCAGTAATTTAATCCATCTTACAACTTCATTATTTATAAATTGTGAAATTTTTCAGGCCTATTTTTGTACTGATACTTCTCTTTTTCACTGCTTATAAGTTTATCACTGTAAAAATGATAAATGACATTCTATCTCGACTGATAAATGAAGTGTTTATGAACATCAGATCAGACTATGGAAATGTCTATGACCCCGGCTACCATGTGTATTGTGTGCTTCTGTCTGTGTGCAGCCTTCTGTCAGTTTTGGCCTTGGAGCTGCCAGATGCCATTTCTCCAGTCCTCTTCACACAGACAATTGACCACCAGTGTAACTACACCAACAGTGCAGTGCTGAGAGTTCTGGATGTGTTCCCTGGCAGTAGTGTCATGTGTCCAGTCAGCTACCGTTTTAATCAGGGGCTTGTGCCAGGCAGCTGCATTAAGGGATCGGGTGACACCTGCCTTGAGATTAGGGTGCTCCAAGGAGCCTAATACCTCTCCTTGTTGTGCCTGGCCTTAAGCTTTGTGTATATTCCAAACGCCAGTGTATTGAAGCAGCAGCGTCTTATCTAGAAAAGTATGGTCATGTAGGGGTCTATATCTAAATCCCTTAGAATGATATTATTTTTTATTATACATGTAGGCAAACATTAAGAAGCAAGGTCCATTTATTTCCAAGTATTGCAAAATATGAATTCTACAATTTACGACCTCTAACTTAATACATTTTTTATGATACATGTTCTATTGATATAGCCTGCATTCCCGAGATCACAGTTGTTATGAAAGAAAATCTTTCCATACCACAGCGAACACGACCCCATGTTGAAATAGCCCCACAGTATGCTGTTTGTGTTTTGGAATTCTAATTACAGCTATTATGAATATGCATTGATTTTGGCTGCACATAGATGAGGTGCCTGGCTGGAAGACAAAATTACATGTCCCATTTTTTCTTACCTACGTATACATATACATATACGTATACATATACATATACATATACATATACATATACATATACATATACATGTATACATACTGATGACCATAATTATGTGGAAACCATTGGCTTTGTTTTGCTTTATCTCCTTTTCTTTTGTTTTCTGTTACTTTTGTTTTTCCCTTAGGAAATAACAATGCAGACTTACAAGTTCGACTTTGAAAATAATGTTTTCCAGCATACCTGGTACATGACTCTAGTAAAATGACACTTAAGAAATTAAAGGAAACTATGAAATGATATGGGCAGGTGGTGGATTTTAAGGTATATGTATGTATGTTCATCTCTTAGTCATAGGAAAGTTTGCCATACCATGGTGGTGTAATGGAGGCAATTTTCAATAATTCATACTAGGCAAATTCCAGTTCTGTGTTTGTGGTGCTGGAGGAATTCCTTTGTTGGAAGTGTTTGAGGGGGCAGGTGGCTGGAGCTAGGGCCCTGCTGGCAGACAAATTTGCAGCCAAACTGGGCCTATTAACATTGGAAGCAGTGATATTGTCCTGAGTGTCTTGGCTGGGAATTGCCTGTCTCCCATGCACCTGACACTCAGCCATACAGACAATAGCTGGCTGGGCCATGGAGAGTTCCCTGCTATGTAATGTTCCCCTGAAGCCACATGGGATGGCATTGGACTGACCTGTAGGGATGGGTGATGTCTCTGTGAGTTAACCTGCCAGACTAGACATCATTACACAGATTGACACCCTGGTGCTAATGGATGGGCAGGTTTGTGGGGAGGGACACAGCTGAGGAGGGGGAGGGGGCAGCAGGTCCAACCCAGCCACTTTACACCTCATCAAATACACATCATGGTTAGAGACGTGGTGCCTCACCCCCACTCATGTAGTATAGCAGGCTGGGGCTGTTCAACAAAGTAACATTGGGTCCCTTCAGGCTGCTCAGTAATACATTTTTGATTCCGTTCAGCAGCAAATGATTGTCTTTATCTGAACCCATCTGCACTACGTGAAAGCACTTTTATCAGCCTCAGCTAATCATTCTATAACCCGTAGGCATGTTACTGTCAGTGACAAAGTGCCATCATTTATTGAAATGATTGTTTAATCTATAGGTTCTAATACATTTATACCTTAAAAGTGTCCCTTTGCAGTCCTGCAATATCAATGGTCTCCGAATGAGCAGTCAGCATCAAATGTACATTGTGTGACAGAGTGTGACATTGTGTGACAGTCTGTGCTCAGCCTTTGTTTCTCAGAACAATAGGATGAACCTATTGATGTCTATCTGCACTGTACACATGAAGCTCCTCTGACCACCCGCATGTTTCTGACTGCCATTAAGTTTAGTCATTCCTGCCTGTCAATCAACTCTTTCCTGCAGGTTAAATGCAGCCACCTTACATTTGGGGGACAACATTTTGATATCATTTTCTACCTCACAGGCTGTGTGACAGATCATAATTTTACACACACCTGGCTTGACATGGCTTGGTGTTATGTAATTACACTGTTGCAATGTGGTGTAATGACTGTGAGTGCTACATTGTGCCTACAGCGTTGGTATTCAGTGTTTGTCAGGAAGCTGCCTGGAGCAGCCACACCTGCTTGACCATGACCTTTGCTCTATCACCCTTTGTCATGTGTCATGCCTTGTTCTTCCATTAAGTACTGTGTAAGCATGCACATCCTCCCTAAAGAAGAATGTGTAATTCCCAAACATGTTCATATATGTTATAATTACCCATGCAGACTTATAGAATTCTTACCTCTCGTGACAAATTTATATATCTCTGGATTTAAGCTATTTTTTTTCTATGCAGGTTTGCAATGAAAAGATATGTTGACAGTCAGCTTATTGTGCTTCTCCATACACAAACGGCAGGTGATGATACAAGAGTTTGTTTGTGGCGTCATCTTCACCCCTATCTCATGGTCATTGTCACCAGCTATTTTAGATCTTGTTTTATTTGTGATGCCATCAAGTGAACTAATTATAATTTGTGCCCCTTGGAGAGAACTTGAGCACAGTCATGGCTTGAGTCAGAAGAATGAATAATAGAACTAATTTGCAAATTGATTTAGCCGATGCATTGGCATCAATGTTATTTTTTGCTGCTTTCCATTGTCTGGCCTTAACCTCCCGGGTAATACAAATGTGATGGAACAAGAAATGCCTGTAATTGCATTTAATTATGGTGGTGTCTAGCAGTGATGAATTGTTGTTATGGTTCCTACAAAAGTTTGGCAATAATAGCCTGGGGCAGCAGGTGGGGAACAACCAGAAAAACAAGTTAGCTCGCACAATATCTAAACATTGTGCTTGTTTGTTTCAGCCAAGGGAGATGGTCTTCCTTCTACTCTTGTTATGTAATAAACTCCACACTAGGTACCCTCAACTGATCCTATTTTGACTGTTGATACATGTATGTCAGTGTCAAATGTAAGTCATATAGCACCTACTGAATTATGGTATGTCACAAATGGAATTGATGGTTAAGTTTCTTTCTTGAAAAAAATTATGATTTGGGTTCAAGCCCAATATGATGATGATGATATTTATGTTGCACATGATAGCAGCTACAATCTTGACCTTTGTCCTTATTTTGTACACTGAAAGAGTTACGTGTTGGCATGTCAATAAAAGT